TGGCGCTGGCCAAATGCAAATGTGCAGCCTCCTGGCATCTGGTCCTAGATGCCGTGCTGCCGCACATTTGCGTTCTATAATAAAAAAAAACGTGCTGAGAGCGCGCACCCTCGCTCCCAGCACACGTCCGGTACTCACGGAAAGGTCCCGATCTCCTCTTTCGATTGGGACCTTTCCCGATCATGTGACCGCCGTGATGGTTTGTCACAGCGGTCACATGACCCTAAACCCCGCCCCCTGAAACCTTTAAAGGGTAGGGAGGCGCCGGCGCCAAGGGGTTAAAACTTAATAACCAGTTTGTGTCAAGAGTACGCATATATGCGGCCTGTTGGTGGGTGGAGCTCGATGCAGAGAGGCCGTGTATATGCATGCCTAAATGTAAACAAACCTGTGCCGAGACTGTTCGCCCTGTGTGCTCCTGGCACCTAACGTTGATTTCCAATCATATGAGCACCAATCAAGGCAGTAAAATAATCAGAAACCCCTTAAAGGGCCGGGAGGCACCGACGTTACGGGATTAAAGTGTTGGTTTTTTTTTTCAAACCATTTACGTTTGAAAAACCGCTGCGCAAATAATGTGTGCCATATAAAACTGCAACACCCACCATTTTATTCTCTAGCAGCTATGCTAAAAATATATATAATGTTTAGGGGTTTTAAGTACGTTTTCTAGCAAAAGAATGCAGATCTTTACGTCGGAGAGAAGTGTCAGAATGAACATTTATAGGTAGTAACACCAGAGACTGCAGATCCAGGGAACATCTGAATGCTACCTGGGGATTCAGGAAGATATCCCCCCAAAACATTGGATCAAGCTTCTTCAGGGTTATAGTTTCGCCTTCCCCTGGATTGACTATGGGTAAAGGATTGTGTATGTGGGGGTTTTATTAGTTGAACTAGATGGACTTAAGTCTTTTTTTCAACCTATGTACTGTATGTGATAATATAAAGTCCTCCTGCGCTTATATGGATTCTCCCTATCCCTAAGCTGCTGGCACTAGTACCTCAACCCCACGGTGTATATGAATTCAAAAGTATATATGATAGTGCAGCGCTATGAATATCCATCCAAGACAGTGATAAGATCCTATATGGATCTATACATGTGAAAAGTGAACCACACTTGACAACATAAATAATCTACACTAAAATGCAAATACAAATCATGCATTTATGTGGGGGGGGTCCTTATTTGTATTTGCATTTTAGTGTGGATTTTTTATGTTGTCAAGTGTGGTTCACTTATCACGTTGTAGTAATTTATCCCTGTACAGGGATACACATATAGTTTTGCACCATTCATCTGTAATTAAGTGATCCCTCAAGTGTGGAGTGTACAGGCCTATCAGGCGGCTCCCTCCTATACATTGCTGTCAGGCAGCTCCCCCCTATACAGAGCTGTCAGGCGGCTCCCCCCCTATACAGAGCTGTCAGGCGGCTCCCCCCCTATACAGAGCTGTCAGGCGGCTCCCCCCCTATACAGGGCTGTCAGGCGGCTCCCCTCCTATACATTGCTGTCAGGCGGCTCCCCTCCTATACAGGGCTGTCAGGCGGCTCCCCTCCTATACAGGGCTGTCAGGCGGCTCCCTCCTGTATACATTGCTGTCAGGCGGCTCCCCTCCTGTACATTGCTGTCAGGCGGCTCCCCTCCTATACCGGGCTGTCAGGCGGCTCCCCTCCTATACCGGGCTGTCAGGCGGCTCCCCTCCTATACAGGGCTGTCAGGCGGCTCCCCTCCTATACCGGGCTGTCAGGCGGCTCCCCTCCTATACAGGGCTGTCAGGCGGCTCCCCTCCTATACCGGGCTGTCAGGCGGCTCCCCTCCTATACCGGGCTGTCAGGCGGCTCCCCTCCTATACGGGCTGTCAGGCGGCTCCCCTCCTATACCGGGCTGTCAGGCGGCTCCCCTCCTATACGGGCTGTCAGGCGGCTCCCCTCCTATACAGGGCTGTCAGGCGGCTCCCCTCCTATACAGGGCTGTCAGGCGGCTCCCCTCCTATACAGGGCTGTCAGGCGGCTCCCCTCCTATACAGGGCTGTCAGGCGGCTCCCCTCCTATACAGGGCTGTCAGGCTGTCACAGGGCTGTCGGGCTCCCCTCCTATACAGGGCTGTCAGGCGGCTCCCCTCCTATACAGGGCTGTCAGGCGGCTCCCCTCCTATACAGGGCTGTCAGGCGGCTCCCCTCCTATACAGGGCTGTCAGGCGGCTCCCCTCCTATACAGGGCTGTCAGGCGGCTCCCCTCCTATCGGGCTGTCAGGCGGCTCCCCTCCTATACCGGGCTGTCAGGCGGCTCCCCTCCTATACCGGGCTGTCAGGCGGCTCCCCTCCAGCTGTCAGGCGGCTCCCCTCCTATACAGGGCTGTCAGGCGGCTCCCCTCCTATACGGGCTGTCAGGCGGCTCCCCTCCTATACAGGGCTGTCAGGCGGCTCCCCTCCTATACAGGGCTGTCAGGCGGCTCCCCTCCTATACCGGGCTGTCAGGCGGCTCCCCTCACGGGCTGTCAGGCGGCTCCCCTCCTATACAGGGCTGTCAGGCGGCTCCCCTCCTATACAGGGCTGTCAGGCGGCTCCCCTCCTATACAGGGCTGTCAGGCGGCTCCCCTCCTATACAGGGCTGTCAGGCGGCTCCCCTCCTATACAGGGCTGTCAGGCGGCTCCCCTCCTATACAGGGCTGTCAGGCGGCTCCCCTCCTATACAGGGCTGTCAGGCGGCTCCCCTCCTATACAGGGCTGTCAGGCGGCTCCCCTCCTATACAGGGCTGTCAGGCGGCTCCCCTCCTATACAGGGCTGTCAGGCGGCTCCCCTCCTATACAGGGCTGTCAGGCGGCTCCCCTCCTATACAGGGCTGTCAGGCGGCTCCCCTCCTATACAGGGCTGTCAGGCGGCTCCCCTCCTATACAGGGCTGTCAGGCGGCTCCCCTCCTATACAGGGCTGTCAGGCGGCTCCCCTCCTATACAGGGCTGTCAGGCGGCTCCCCTCCTATACAGGGCTGTCAGGCGGCTCCCCTCCTATATAGGGCTGTCAGGCGGCTCCCCTCCTATACAGGGCTGTCAGGCGGCTCCCCTCCTATACCGGGCTGTCAGGCGGCTCCCCTCCTATACAGGGCTGTCAGGCGGCTCCCCTCCTATACACCGGGCTGTCAGGCGGCTCCCCTCCTATACCGGGCTGTCAGGCGGCTCCCCTCCTATACAGGGCTGTCAGGCGGCTCCCCTCCTATACAGGGCTGTCAGGCGGCTCCCTCCTATACGGGCTGTCAGGCGGCTCCCTCCTATACAGGGCTGTCAGGCGGCTCCCCTCCTATACCGGGCTGTCAGGCGGCTCCCCTCCTATACAGGGCTGTCAGGCGGCTCCCCTCCTATACAGGGCTGTCAGGCGGCTCCCCTCCTATACCGGGCTGTCAGGCGGCTGTCAGGCGGCTCCCCTCCTATACCGGGCTGTCAGGCGGCTCCCCTCCTATACAGGGCTGTCAGGCGGCTCCCCTCCTATACAGGGCTGTCAGGCGGCTCCCCTCCTATACAGGGCTGTCAGGCGGCTCCCCTCCTATACAGGGCTGTCAGGCGGCTCCCCTCCTATACAGGGCTGTCAGGCGGCTCCCCTCCTATACAGGGCTGTCAGGCGGCTCCCCTCCTATACAGGGCTGTCAGGCGGCTCCCCCCTCCTATACAGGGCTGTCAGGCGGCTCCCCCCTATACAGGGCTCAGGCGGTCAGGCGGCTCCCCTCCTATACAGGGCTGTCAGGCGGCTCCCCTCCCTATACAGGGCTGTCAGGCGGCTCCCCTCCTATACAGGGCTGTCAGGCGGCTCCCCCCTATACAGGGCTGTCAGGCGGCTCCCTCCTATACATTGCTGTCAGGCGGCTCCCCCCTATACAGGGCTGTCAGGCGGCTCCCCTCCTATACAGGGCTGTCAGGCGGCTCCCCCCTATACATTGCTGTCAGGCGGCTCCCCCCTATACAGGGCTGTCAGGCGGCAGGGCTGTCAGGCCTCCCCCCTATACAGGGCTGTCAGGCGGCTCCCCCCTGTCAGGCGGCTCCCCCCTATACATTGCTGTCAGGCCTAGGTGGGAGGAGATTATCCTAGAGGCGGTCGGGCACAGTACACAGCACACCTTCATGTCTCCGCCCGCCTGATCCACTCACCGCTTCACCACGCCGGTCTTTATCTTCATTTGCCTCAGCCGCGGGTCCGCCATCTTACCGGAGAAAGGTACACAAAGACAGCACGCCGTCACCAGAGACCACGGAGAGTGCGCAGTTCAGGCACAGTCACTGCAAGGCGGAAGAAGGCGTTAGTACAGGAGAGTGCGCGTACGTTCCACGCATGTGCTGCCTCTTGGATACGGCGTGTGTATGGAGGAGGGAAAGGAGACCGGCGTACGCATGCGCGACATGTGCCCTGTGTTTCTAATGCCATGTCTTACATTCCTCTGCCCCATGGATACAGTGTGTATGTGGAGGTGGATGTACACTATTACTGGCAGAGCTCTACGGTGCTGCTGGTTAACTTGCAAGGTATAGGGGCTCTCAGCTGTGGGCCCTGTTAGCTTTTAAAGTGTTACTAAACCCACAACAGTAAAATCAGTCTGTATATGCAGTAAAGCATGCTTGTTATACTCACTGTGGAACATAAGGGGTTAATCCTCTGCATTGTGTAAAAAGGCTGTTTGATCCTTTCTTCTCTGCCCCTCCTCTTGTTGAAATGACAACCTGATACAGACTGAATCCATAGTCACATGCACATGCTCAATTTGGTGTGTATTGCTAGAGAGGTGTTTTTTTTTCTTGGGAGAGTATATGTGATCAGCACAGGGCCAATCAGCACTGTCTAGACAGAGGGTCAGGGGTTTCACATCCTCCTAGAGCAGAAAGATAGCTACCTAGAAGCGTTAACCAGTGCTCTGCTGGAGTCACAAGACTACTCTAACTGCTGATGAGACCAGGTATTTAGCAGGTTATATTTACTAAAATAATTGCATTTCCATGTTGTGTGTACTGTGGGAGACCAGATATAATGAATGACCAGGGATGCAGGGACCGGGGGTACCAGATATAGTGAATGCAGGGTCCGGGGAGACCAGATATAGTGAATGCAGGGTCCGGGGGGACCAGATATAGTGAATGCAGGGACCGGGGGTACCGGTGAATGCAGGGTCCGAGGAGACCAGATATAGTGAATGCAGGGTCCGGGGGTCCGAGTGGAGACCAGATATAGTGAATGCAGGGTCCGGGGAGACCAGATATAGTGAATGCAGGGTCCGGGGAGACCAGATATAGTGAATGCAGGGTCCGGGGGGGACCAGATATAGTGAATGCAGGGTCCGGGGGGACCAGATATAGTGAATGCAGGGTCCGGGGAGACCAGATATAGTGAATGCAGGGTCCGGGGGGACCAGATATAGTGAATGCATAGTCCTGGGTTTAGTATCACTTTACTTTTGATTAGCCAAAATAATAATTTATTCTGTCCTTGAAATGAATTAACGCTCAAGGGCTAAACGCACCTAGCATTAAGGTACATTTAGATGCTTTAACATGTATTTCCATGCTTAAAGCTTTTTTTGTTCCAAAATGCTGCTGCTCCTGGACATGCTGGCTGTGGTTTTTTTTTTTTCCAGCCTCTAAATGCCTATATGTGGTTTTTTTTTTTTTTTCCAGCCTCTAAATGCCTATATGTGCATGGACACATATACTAACATGCAGGTATGTTTATCCTAAGAGGTTAATCCTCTGCATTGTGTAAAAAGGCTCTTTGATCCTTTCTTCTCTGCCCCTTCTCTTGTTCAAATACCCATGCTGATAAGACAGACTGAACCCTTCTGCACATGCTCAGTTTAGTGTGTATCACTAGAGGTTTGTTTTTTTTTGCTTGGGAGAGTGCATGTGATCAGCACAGGGCCAATCAGCACTGTCCTGAAAGAGGTCAGGGGTTTTGCATCCTAGAGCAGAAAGAAAACTACAAGCTTTAACCAGTGCTCTGCTGAAGTCACAAGACTGCTCTAACTGCTGATGAGAAAAAGTATTTAGTAGTTTATATTTACTAAAATAATTGCAACTCCACATTGTGTGGACTGTGGGTGACCAGATATAGTGAATGCAGGGTTTAGTAACACTGTAGCCTCCCTAGCAGTCTGATTATGTCCATATTTCTGTGCTCAAAGTGGTACATTTTTTTGCATGGAAATATGTAGTTTTTATTGTAGGCCTGTAATTTTTAGGAATAACTCACTGAAATCTGTCCCGAACAAGAGTCTTGTAAACATCCCGGGTATGTTAAAATTTGAAACACGAAATCATAAATTATAATTTAATAAATAATCATAAAAAAAATATAATAATAATAATAATACATTTAATTCAATAATATAATCAAACCAAAAACACTGAAATTTGAAATATAGCGCCAAGTTCACACATCACTGATCTTAGTTGCAAAATCGTTTTCAGTGTCTGATGAATTTCCCCACAAATCACCATCACTCAATTCTGCAAGTGGTTCTAATTTACTATCGCTGTTCTCTAGCTGGTCTAAAACCGATTTTGACCTAAAGGGACGCTTTTTGGACGCCATGGACGTTTCTCAGTTTCCAGGCAGAAAGAACAGTAAAAATGCAGGCAGGGCACAGGACAAAGCACTCGGGACAAAATGTATGTGAAATGGTTTGATACAGTAATGTTTTACTATGTGATTTTAGTGAATGTCACTTCTACAATTTTCAAATTTCCCGCCGTTCTGTCCCCGTACGTCCGGACGTCGCAGGGAACGGAATCCAGAAGACAGATGCCGGCATAGGCCGGAGGACATTACAGGGGACACTACAAGGGACATCGTGGGAGCGCAGGACAAGGTAAGTGAAGAAGAGATCCCGGAGCAATGCTGTAGGGTATTTCCGAGTGTAGCTCGGGGTTTCCGCTTGTGGTGCTGAAACTTTACCCCGAGCTACACTCGGGAATACCTCCAGGGAGGTTAAGGGTCCTAGAATATATTTTTAGTACACAGAAGGAGCTTGTTTGGGAGTGCAGGACATGTTGAAGGGAATTGTCAGAGACTGCAGATGTGGAACAGGAGTGGTCAGAGGGCTAGTTCACATGCGATGCAGTCCAGTGCACTTTTTTTCGGCATCAAAATTGCATGCACAGTGTTTTCCACGTATTCCAATGGCCCTGGTTCACACTGGTGCAGTCAGTTCTGGTCAGTTTCCGGTGCAGAAAAAAAAAGTAGAACATGCTGCATTTTTTTCTGCAGAGAACTGTACTGGAACATTGTAAACTGCATCAAAACTGCACCGGAATGGAGTGTGGTGTGAACTGAATTCAAAAACGTATCTGGAATGCATCCAGAGTGTTTTTTTTTTGTGGTGTGAACTGGCCCAGAGTCTGAAGACTCTGTGTAAGAGACAGTCAGAGACTGGGGCTGTGCTACATGAGACTGCTGGAGATCACTGTCGATACAGCTACATTAACCACCTCATTACCGGGCCTGTTCTGACACTTCTCTCATATATGTAAAAATTATGTTTTTTTGCTGGAAAATTACTTAGAACCCCCAAACATTAAACATTTTTTTGTAGCAGAGGCCCTAGAGAATAAAACAGCAGTGTCTGCAATTTTTTTATGTCACGCAGTATTTGCACAGCAATTTTTCAAACGCAAAAAAAACACTTTAAATGAATCAACCACTTGCCCCCCAGAGGATTTACCCCCCCTTGCTAACCAGGCCATTTTTTGCGATACTGCGCTGCGTTACCTTAACTGACAGTGGCGCAGTCATGGAACCCTGTGCATAAATGAAATTTGTCATTTTTTTTCCACACAAATAGAGCTTTCTTTTGGTGTTATTCGATCACCTCTGTGTTTTTTATTTTTTTTTTTGCAGTATAAACAAAAAAAAAGAGACAATTGTGAAAAAAAACAATATTTTTGACTTGCTGTAAAAATTTAAAAAAATAAAAATTTTTCATGAATTTCTGCCAAAATGTATTCTGCTACATATCTTTGCTAAAAAAACCAATAAGTGTATATTAATTGGTTTACGTCACAGTTATAGCATTTACCTCCTAGATTGTAAGCTCTAACAAGCAGGGCCCTCTGTTTCCTCTTCTACCAAATTGTTTTGTAACTGTAATGTCTACCTTCATTTTGTAAAGCGCTGCGCAAACTGTTGGCGCGATATAAATCCTGTGTAATGATAATATAATAATAATAATACAAATGGCGGTATTTATAATGAATTTTTTTTTTTATACTAGTAGTGCCGGCGATCAGCGACTTATAGCGGGACTGCAGCAGGCATTCTGACACTGGGTGGGAACTGACTAACTGCCACTGACTTCCCCAGTGACACTAATATAGTGATCAGTGCTAATAAAAAGCACTGACACTGTACTAATGACACTGGGCAAGAAGGGGTTAAGATCTGGGACGATCAAAGGGTTCAAGGTGTGCTGTGTGTGTTTTCCGTTGTGTGTTGTTTTACTTGGGAGACACGCTGCTTTGTATTTCTCTGCTGTGCAGAGAGATACAAAACAGCATGTCCATGCTGACAGGAGAGAGACCTGTGTTGTTTACACACAGATCTCTCCCCTCTCAGCCTTGCCGACGATCACTGAGTCCTGGCTGGGAATTGCCGGCCATGACTCGGTGATTGACATCCCTAGCAGCCAATAGTGGCACGGGTAGTGCGGCTATTGTGTGTGTGTGTCCCCTACCCAGAAATGCAAATCACGTATATATACGTGATTTTGCGCAGCCGTGCCACCCTGTAGCACTGCTTGTGCTATAGGGCGGAGGGCAAGTGGTTAAAAAACCCAAAACACAATATATGACTAAATGTTTTTGTAAAATATGAAAGATGATGTTACGATGTGTAAATAAATACACAAAATATCATGCTTTAAAACTGTGCACGCTCATGGAATGGTGCCAAACTATGGTACTTAAAAATCTCCATGAGTGACGCTTTCTAAATGTTTACAGGTTACCAGTTTAAAGTTACAGAGAAGATCTAGTACTAGAATTATTGCTCTTGCTCTGATGCTCACGGTGATACCTCACGCGTGTGGTTTGAAAATCGTTTACATATGTGGGCGTGACCTACGTCTGTGTTCACCACCGTGTGCGAGCATGGGGGGACAGGGGCGCTTTACATTTTTTAAAAAATTTGTTTTATTACATTTTATATTTTTAAACTGACCCTTTAAAAAATGTCATCACTTTTATTCCTATCACAAGGAATGTAAACATCCCTTGTGATAGAAATAAGCAGTGACAGATCCTGTTTATGGAGAGATCTCATCTCGGGCCAATAAGACCCCACATCTCTTCTCTACAATGTAAAGCGTTAGATTAAAAAAAAACATTGATTTAGTGTGCTAAAGGCATTGTTTACTTTTGGCCGGAACAGGAAGTGATGTAATGACGTTTCTCAGGTTCTCTAAGGTCATAGAGATGAGTGGAGGCCATCTTTACTTTACTCATCTCTATGTGCAGCACATATGGATTCACCGATCACCCAGGTAAGCTCAAAAACCACCAGGAGCTAAAAGTGATCTAGCAATGACTCCGCTGCTCAGACCACTTTTAGTAGATAGGGAATCGCTGGCTGAAAAAACCAATGCCGGGGTTATGGCAGTTTGCTGCAGCCATAACTCCGGTGTCCACTTCCCAACCGAGGACGTGTATATATATACTATTGCTGGTTGGGAAGTGGTTAAAGTGGTTGTAAACCCTTACATATACCCAGTGACGTGACTAGCCTCAGTTAACACACAGAGATGAAACAAATCCTCCTGCATATGTTGTGCCTGTTTATCTGCACCAACATGTCCCCTACATCCATTCATAGCACATAATTTACACAGGATCTCAGCTCTGAAAAGCAGGGGGTGGAGAGCTGACATTACATCAGTGAGAAGAGCTCTGAGAGCTGATTGCAGGAAAGGGATACCCACCTCCATTCACACAGTACACAGGAACAGAGTTGAGGCTGTCAATCACAGGCTGTGCTCTCTCTTGTCAACATTTTTCTCTTGGTGTCTGAACTACTTGTCAGAAGAGATTCATGCTGACAGCAGAGGAATGAGGCAGCAAACAGAAATTACATTTAGTGTTCTGGACTGAGACAAGCACACCCTATAGAGGGATATGCTTTGTTCATATTTCACATTTGAGGTTTGCAAACACTTTAAGGCCCCTTTCTCACAGGTGGTCTGGTTGGGTCTGCCTGTCATTTTTTCAGATGGACCAGACTGGACCCGCCATTCTTTTCTATGGGTAGCTGGATGTAAATGGACTTGTGTCTGTTTACACCAATCTACCTCCGATCTGGCAAAAACAAACATCCACACCCCTCTGTCTGGTCCGATTGGATCAGATGGCAGTTGGGTGTAAACAGACAGTCTGTTTATATCTGACCACCCATAGGGTAGAGCGGGCTGCGTCTGTGTTCGCTCAGCACAAGCAGAGCGGTCAGGGACCTGTCATCCGTCTGCTCAGTGGGGGATCAGCAGACGGATGCCCTGCTGAGCAAGCGGATCGCAGGCAGAGTCTGCTCTGTGTGAAAGGGGCCTAACAATGACTGCTTCCTTTACTGACTGCCAGAGTCTGCGAAGGGCCAAAAGGTGTCCACTCGAGCTCTAGGGTGCTTGCACGCAGTACTGATTATTGAATGTCAGTATGCCTTGCCAACATCTTTTGCATTTCTTTTGCTCTCATGCGCAAACATAAATAAAATCTAAGTCCCAGAATGCGATTATAACTTCTTGAAAATAACATTTTATGCAGATGAAATACTAACCAACAACACAGATTAGACTCTATTTTTTTGTTACTCATCTATATGCAGGGCATTTGTATGTGCCTGTGTGTACAGGCACTTTGAAAACAATGGGCTGCATTTAGACAAAAAAAAGCCTGTATGCCTGATGCCTCATGCTCACTGGATGGTTTTTCAGCTGCACCTAGGGGGTCTGGCATTTTCTTTCTGCTTTTAAACATACCTGCATGTTAGTATATGTGTCCATGCACATATAGGCATTTAGAGGCTGGAAAAAAAAAAAAACACAGCCAGCATGTCCAGGAGCAGCAGCATTTTGGAACAAAAAAAGCTTTAAGCATGT